GCTTGACATATATGTATATATCCTTTTTTGACTAATGTAAATCTCATACCTATCAATGGTTAAATATATATATATTTTTTTGTTGTGATTGTCAACACAATCCACATAGAGAAAATTGTCTGCAGAAATTTCCCTAGTATGATGTTACCAGAAATTCACAGAGAAATTTAACTCGTATCTTCCCAAGGGGATGCCTATGTGATCATATAATCTGTAATGCTTTGTTTTGGTACAAAACAATCATCAAATTCAAAAAACACAAAGCGCACAGTAATTTTCTCTGCTATTAGCAAATTTCACTGGATGAATTTGATGCTTCAAAACACAATGCTCAGATAATTTTTTCTACTAGTGAAAAATTTCTTTGGATGAAATTGACGGGTATTATAAACAGACTACCCATAGTATGTTTCAACAAATACAATTCACACTGTAATTTTCAATGCTATTGGCAAATTTCTCTGGATGAATTGGACCTCACAAAACACAATGCAAATTTCAACAAACATAATGCCCACAGTAAATTTATCTTCTATTGGCAAACTTCTATGGATGAATTTGACTGGTATGAAGTTACCAGAAATTCACAGAGAAATTTAACTCGTACCGTGCCGAAGAGGGTGCCTATATGATCATGCAATCTGTAATGCACTGTGTTAGTACAAAACAATTATCAAATTCAAAAAACACAATGCACACAGTACTTTTCTCTACTATTGGCAAATTTCTCTAGATGAATTTGAAGCTTCAAAACACAATGCACAAAGAATTTTCTCTGCCATAGGCAAATTTCTCTGGATGAATTTAACTGGTATTACAAACCCACTGCATGGACTCCCAGTTTGAAAACTAAGTCAAAAAATGTACTTCCTAAACACCTAAGTTTGAAAAATAGGCCATCGGGGGCCAAAAATCCTGTAACAGTCCCGAGAAGGCCCGTAGAACACCTCCAACACCTCGGGAGAAACCAATGTAAGTTGTGGAAACTTACGGAACAGGCACGGGACTTCCGGTTTGAAAACTAAGTTGGAAAAAGACACTTTCTTCACACTTAGGCTTGGAAATAGGACATCGGGGGGCCAAAATCGTGTAACAGTCACGAGAAGGCCCGGGGAACACATCAAACACCTCGGGAGGGACCAATGTAAGTTGTGAGAACTTACAGAACTAACACGAGACTCCCGGTTTGAAAACTAAGTCCGAAACGACACTTTTCTCGCACTTAAGCTTGAAAATATTCCATCGGGGGGCCAAACTCGTGTAACAGTCAAGAGAAGGTCCGGGGAACACCTCAAAAACACCTCAAACACCTCGGGAGTGACCAATGTGAGTTGTGAAAACTTACGGAACTAGCACGGGACTTCCGGTTTGAAAACTAAGTTGGAAAAAGACACTTTCTTCACACTTAGGCTTGGAAATAGGACATCGGGGGGCCAAAATCGTGTAACAGTCACGAGAATGACCGGGAGATGCCCCAAACACCTCGGGGGGGGTCCAAGGTAAGTTGTGAAGACTTACGGAACTAGCACGAGACTCTCGGTTTGGGAATTAAATTGAAAAATGCACTTTTTTCACATTTAAGCTCGAAAATAAGCCTTTGGGGGCCAAAATCGTGTAACAGTCACGAGAAGGCCCGGGGAACACATCAAACACCTCGGGAGGGACCAATGTAAATTGTGAGAACTTACAGAACTAACACGAGACTCCCGGTTTGAAAACTAAGTCCGAAACGACACTTTTCTCGCACTTAAGCTTGAAAATATTCCATCGGGGGCCAAACTCGTGTAACAGTCAAGAGAAGGTCCGGGGAACACCTCAAACACCTATGGAGGGACCAACGTGAGTTGTGAAAACTTGCGGAACTTGCATGGGACTCCCGGTTTGAAAACTAAGTCAAAAAATACACTTCCTAAACACCTAAGCTTGAAAATAGGCCATCCGGGGCCAAAAATCCTGTAACAGTCCCGAGAAGGCCCATGGAACACCTCCACACCTCGGGAGAAACCAATGTAAGTTGTGAAAACTTACGGAACTAGCGCGGGACTTCCGATTTGAAAACTAGGACGAAAAAGGCACTTTTTTCACACTTAAGCTTGAAAATAGGCATCGGCGGGCCGAAATCATGTAACAATCACGAGAAGGTCCGAGGAACACCTCAAACATCTCAGGAGGGACCAATTGGAGTTGTGAAAACTTAACAAACAGGCACGGGACTCCCGGTTTGAAAACTAGGGTGAAAAATACACTTTTCTAACACTTAAGCTTGAAAGTACGCCATTGGGGGCCAAAATCATGTAACAGTCGCAAGAAGGGCCGGAAACACCTCAAACACCTCGGGAGTGACCAATGTGAGTTGTGAAAACTTACGGAACTAGCACGGGACTTCCGATTTGAAAACTAAGTTGGAAAAATACACCTTTTTCACACTTAAGCTTGGAAATAGGACATCGGGGGGCCAAAACTGTGTAACAATCACGAGAAGGACCGGGAGATGCCCTAAACACCTTGGGAGGGTCCAAGGTAAGTTGTGGAGACTTACGGAACTAGCACGGGACCCTCGGTTTGGGAACTAAATCAAAAAATGCACTTTTTTCACACTTAAGCTTGAAAATAAGTCGTCGAGGGCTAAAATCATATAACAGTCACGAGAAGGCCCGGGGAACACATCAAACACCTCGGGAGAGACCAATGTAAGTTGTGAAAACTTACGGAACTAGCACGTGACTCCCAGTTTGAAAACTAAGTCCGAAACGGCACTTTTCTCGCACTTAAGCTTGAAAATAGTCTATCGGGGGGCCAAAATCGTGTAACAGTCAAGAGAAGGCCCGGGGAACACCTCAAACACCTAGAGAGGGACCAACGTGAGTTGTGGAAACTTACGGAACTTGCATGGGACTCCCGGTTTGAAAACAAAGTCAAAAAATGCACTTCCTAAACACCTAAGTTTGAAAATAGGCCATCGGGGGCCAAAAATCTTGTAACAGTGCCGTGAAGGCCCATGGAACATCTCCAACACCTCGGGAGAAACCAATGTAAGTTGTGGAAACTTACAGAACTAGCGAGGGACTTCCGGTTTGAAAACTAGGTCGAAAAAGGCACTTTTTTCACACTTAAGCTTGAAAATAGGCCTCGGCGGGCCGAAATCGTGTAACAATCACGAGAAGGCTCGGGAAACACCTCAAACATCTCAAGAGGGACCAATTTGAGTTGTGAGAGAGAGAGAGAGCATCAACATCAACAACAACAACACATCATCATCATCATCATCTTCCTGTATCTGTTCTTGCTCTGTTTTTTTTTTTCTTTTTCTTCTTCCATAACTTAGAATAGAGAGAGAGAAAGAGAGAGAGAGAGAGATACAGAGAGAGAGAGAGGGGGGTACACAAATCTGTGTATACACACAGATGATGGTGGTGTTGGTGATAGCGGCGCTGGTGATGGGTTCTCTCTCTCTTCTCTTTTCCTCTCTCTTCTCTTTCTTTCTCTTTCTTTTTCTCATCCTCTTCTTCCCTCTTCTCTCTCTTTCTCCCTCTATTTCAGCGATATAAGAGGGAAAGAAAAAGAAAAAAAAAATTGGAGCCCTTTCGGGCCAAGTTTTTTTTGAGCTAGGAAGGATTATTCGTGTGGAAAATTACTGGCCCCCCAGCCTACCCTAATAGCCAGTATTTTTTTTTTTTGGTTGCTGATTGCACCTGTAGTCCAGAATTTTGTCCTTTTATGTCATTTTAATGCTCACAGTTAGTCCAATTGTATTTTTTTTTTTTAACAACATCATCGTCGTCATCATCATCATCACACATCATCATCAACATCAAACAATAACACATCATCATCATCACACGTCATCCTCAACAACAATTTTGGCACCTATACACATACAGATCTATACACACACATAGATCTGTTCTTCTTCTTCTTCTTCTCTATACACACAGAGAGAGATACAGAGAGAGAGAGAGGGGTACACAGATCTGTGTATACACACAGATGATGGTGGTGTTTGTGATAGCGGCGCTGGTGATGGGTTCTCTCTCTCTTCTCTTTCTTTCTCTTTCTTTTTCTCATCCTCTTCTTCCCTCTTCTCTCTCTTCCTCCCTCTATTTCAGCGATATAAGAGGGAAAGAAAAAGAACAAAAAAATTGGAGCCCTTTCGGGCCAAGTTTTTTTTGAGCTAGGAAGGATTATTCGTGTGGAAAATTACTGGCCACCCAGCCTACCCTAATAGCCAGTATTTTTTTTTTTTGGTTGCTGATTGCACCTGTAGTCCAGAATTTTGTCCTTTTATGTCATTTTAATGCTCACAGTTAGTCCAATTGTATTTTTTTTTTTTTGGTTTCTAATTGCACTCGTAGTCCGGAATTCTGTCCCTTTATGTCATTTAATGCTCACAATTAGTCCAATTGACATCACCAGTTTGGGATTTTGATAGAAAATAGTCACTAAATTAATTGAAGTTAGTTTATAGAGTTAATCAAATTTACAATTTTACTCCTAAAAGCATGACACGTCACTCATATGTTCATTTTTTATTTAAAAAAACACCAACAATTGTAAATTATAAATGACTCAAATGACACAATTGTAAATTATAAACCAACCTGAGACAATCATAAATTCATAATTAAAATTGAATCAATTGAATTTTATTTATTTATTTATTATTTTAATTTTATTTGCAGAAATTAATGATTAATTGTTAGAATAACACTTAAAGAGAATTGATCTCATCCCTTCTATTACAGATCACTTTTTAGTCTTACCTCTCCATTTCACTTCCAAGATAACAAGCAAGAGCTAATTGAAATTATAAATGACTCAAATGACAATGGCCAAAATAAAGTCAAAAATTTGGTCAAAACTCTTTTATAATAAAATTTTAATGCATTAAGAACAAATATAAAAAGTTTTCTTTAAAAAGTCTAACACATACTACTATTATCAAAATATTCTTAGTGACTAATTTAGTATTTTAATTTTTAATAAAATTAATATTTTTACTCTATTTCACAATAACATTTTACTGACTATCAAAGTAACACTTTACTGTCTTCTTAAATAGGACAGTAACAAAAAAAAAAAAACAGAATATGAAACAACAACCGATCACAGTGATGATGGGAAGAAGGTCACAGCTTCGATAGCAACATCAACTACAGCAAATATGATCTGTTTGCTCAATTTGCTGCTCTCAAGACGTCTCTTCTTCCCTTTTCTTTTTCTTCTGATCCTCGACTGCGTCCCAATAAGTAACGGAACAATTGCAAGTGATGATGGAGTGGATGAAGATGGAGTGCAGAAACTGGTCCAATGGGCCATCGACACTGCTCGACTTGATCCTTCTCCTCCCACTGGTTCTGATAATGATGATAACGACAGCAACAACGATAATGACATTGACATTGATATTGACGATCATCAGAAAGAAAAAGAAGAAGAAGAAGAAGAAGAAGAGATCATGTTTGTTTGTGCAGAAATGTTTACTGAATTCAACTAAAAGGTAAATTTGTCAATAAAAATGCACCTGTACAATATTGGTGTCTTTGAAAGAAAAATCTATCTTAATGGACTTTACACAATAAAAATTGTTTTAGTGTTCCTTTCAACAAAGAATGGCTCAAGGGAGGGATTTTGGACAAATTTTTCCTAAAAAAGCGACTACTGGTGTGCTTTGCACTTTGATTTTTTCTTTATTTAAATTAAGGAATCAAATTCACAAAGCCAAAAAAATCCAACTCACCCATCCAGCTGGTTCGAAACTGCCATCTTCAACCAATTGCCAAGTTTCAAGATTGGCAGTTTGAGGGCTGCTGAATCAACCTGGCACAATACAACTACTACTAGCCAACATATCTCACCAACACTACTAGCTTTGCCACGTTCAAAAGGTAGATGTCTCTTGAACCTTTATGATCAATCTTAGGTGGCAATTTTCTTTGTAATAATGACATATATTGTTATTGTGACTCATTAGTATGTAATACATTATAATAATAAAATAAAATATAAATCTTCGGCAACCCATGAACCTCCATTATCTTAAAAGGAAAAAGCAGCCTCTGGCAACGAGAATTTGAGTCATCATGGACAAAGATTCAACTACTTAAAAAATCAATCTGAACAATGTTGTTTCAACATAACTTCAGGACCATGTATTTTGAGGGCAAATTGTATACAAGAAGGCGATCGTGAGCAGTACTTGTTCTATGCCAAACCAAAACCCCTTGAATTCTATAAATTATTGTTAGACAGCATTTTGAGAAAAGTAGTCTATGAGATCCGAAAATACTCGCAATTGTCCTCTTTCTATTTCTTACAACATATAAAGCCAATTGGCATCAGTGAATGAGAATAAAACTCACAGCAAACTGGAATAGTCTGTGCAGTTGTATTGGAAACATCTTGGGTAGTTCCTCGGCACAATGCAGATGAAAGCAGAAGAGAGAAACATGACTGAATGATGTTTCACAACAAACTGTAGGTTAGTAGGCCAACCTGAACGTCGCGCCAAATTTGGTACATATTCCACTTGTCATTTATTATGTAATTCTGTCTTTGGAAGTATATCAACTCTTCTCACTCTGAGCTTGGATCGTGCTCCTACAACAAGAAGAACAACCATCAAAATATGTTAGTGTATCTTTTGATTATTGTGGACATAGAACACTCAAAGCGGGCATCAGAAATCTCATCCCATGTAAGACAACCTGTCCTCCCAAGGGTGAAATTAATATAATCTAATTCCCAATAGAAGTAGCTTGATACGAGGCAAAATATATTTGAACAGGATTAGCTATTAGACTATTATGGACGAGGTTGTCTGCAGGTTATAAATTGTGGTCTGTGATGGTTTGCATGGCAATGGGTTATGGACACACACACACACACACACACACACAGAGAGATGGGTCTACTTTAGAGATGGTTGATTGGGTGGTAGCTAAGAACAACATAACTTCAGGACCATGTATTTTGAGGGCAAATTGTATACAAGAAGGCGGCCGTGAGTAGTACTTGTTCTATGCCAAACCAAAACCCCTTGAATTCTATAAATTATTGTTAGACAGCATTTTGAGAAAAGTAGTCTATGAGATCCGAAAATACTCGCAGTTGTCCTTTTTCTATTTCTTACAACATATAAAGCCAATTGGCATTAGTGAATGAAAATAAAACTCACAGCAGACTGGAATAGTCTGTGCGGTTGTATTGGAAACATCTTGGGTAGTTCCTCGGCACAATGCAGATGAAAGCAGAAGAGAGAAACATGACTGAATGGTGTTTCACAACAAACTGTAGGTCAGTAGGCCAACCTGAAATGTCACGCCAAATTTGGTACATATTCCACTTGTCATTTATTATGTAATTCTGTCTTTGAAGTATATCAGCTCTTCTCACTCTGAACTTGAACCGTGCTCCTACAACAAGAAGAACAACCATCAAAATATGTCAATGTATCAAGATGGTTATAATCTTTTGATTATTGTGGACATAGAACACTCAAAGCGGGCATCAGAAATCTCATCCCATGTAAGACAACCTATCCTCCCAAGGGTGAAATTAATATAATCTAATTCCCAATAGAAGTAGCTTGATACGAGGCAAAATATATTTGAACAGGATTAGCTATTAGACTATTATGGCGGGGCTGTCTGTAGGTTATAAATTGTGGTCTGTGATGGTTTGCATGGCAATGGGTTATGGACAGAGATAGACACACACACACACACACAGATGGGTCTACTTTAGAGATGGTTGATTGGGTGGTATTAAATTAACATTTACAGTTTATATTTTTTATGGATGATCTATTAAGTATTTAAATCTAAGAAAAAAATAATAAGCATTCAATATTCATCACAAGCATTAAATTAAATGGGGAAAAAGACAATTTAGCATGTCCCCAAAGTATCCCCTAAAAATAAATTAATTAAATAAGGCGACACGCCATGTGGTGTGTCCCATACCTGTTCCCAAAGTGTCTATGTGTCCGACACGGATACGGCACTTATTTTGACGTGTCGGTGCTTCATAGGGTGGTAGTCATCGGCAATGACTATTAGAGGTGATCACTATTAATGGGGTTAGGATAGAGTAACTTGATGACTCAATGTGAGTTAGGATTGGAATAACATTCCATTTGTTTTGGCAGAGAATATTTTTCGTATTTTCTAGAGTTTGATACTACAGAAAGCGAAAGCAACATAAAATGTTTTGTGGCGGTCAATGGAAAACAAGCTTATTTGGGAAAAAAATATTTTCCAATTTCAAAAGATAGAAAACGTTTTCCGAACTAAAATCTTACCAACGCAACCACACTATTACCATCATCACCACCTCCAAAAACCCGACCATCATCTCCACTACCACCACCACTATCGCCAATATTACCTTCACCACCTCCGCCGCCAAAATCTCCACCTCACCCTACTACCACCCCACCACCACCAACACCAACTGCCCCACCTCCTCCTACCACTACCACTAACACTAATACAACAACTAATACATTAGTTTCAAAGTCGCAACTAGACATAGGAAAACATTTTATGAAAAAAAAAAAAAATTCATAAAAATATTTTAATTACAAAATGCTTTCCTCAAACAAAGTAAGAATTACTATGAATAATAAAATATGTAAATTTTCTGTTGCAATCGTCATCACAAGGGAAAATTGTTTTTTCAGAAACATAAGAGGGTGTTGTGATTGTTAGAAACCTAAGGGGTGTAGTCTATGTTACATGGAATTGGATATGAGTGTCGGGTGCAGGCGTCTGTCCAAAAGTTGGACATTCACAACCATTAATCTTAGGATATCGAGATGTGTCCAAAAGTTACATATGGAGACACATCATGGACACACACACACACATACACATATATATAACATATCATATAATATAATATACTTAGATAAGATGTTTTAAATTATGTAGAAATGTACATGAAATTAAATATGATTAAGAGACGTGATATTTCTCTCTAACCCATGTGTGAGGTCAGAAATGTGTCTTTAATAGCAAATGCAAGTTTCATTTTTTTTCAAGCATCATAAAAAATTAGAAGATTCAAGTGTCTAAATTTACAGGTGTTGGACATGTTGGACACATGGCACTCTTACCTTTATTATATTCCATGGGCACGGTCGGGGAAAATAAAAGAGTCCATAACACCCATGTAAGTACAATTTACACAAAAGCATGTGAATAATAATAATAATAATAAAATTGGAAAAAAAATAATTAAGATGACCTCACCACTTGTATTTCTTGAGAAGAACTTCAGTATCTCGTCAATTATAATAACCTATGCCAGGTTGACAATATCGTAAGTAATGCCAAATAAGAAAGAGATCCAAATATGAAACAAAAAGTGATGCAGTGTATTATATTTAAATCAGAAACAATTAAACAAAATAGTCTACATATAAGATATTACTTGCTACTGTAGGTTTCACTAAGCTATTCAGGGAAAGAAAAGGGGTGAAAATTATCAGTTGAAGACATCATTAAAGCTATTCTGAGTAATGGAAGAGAAGCTACCATGACACGGTGACAACTAGAAAGGAAACAAAGAAAAGTAATTACACAGAATCAAAATGAGATTTTATCCATAAAACAAAGTGTGATTTGAAAATTTAACTAAGCCACCACCATATTTGAGGCCCATTGAAGAAATTCCCTATTTATTAACTCTCACAACCCATTCAGCAAGTAAATAGAATTTGGCGTTAATGTCTGGGTACTAAATGTAAAGATGTTGCTAATTCCAATCATAGAGCAAGGCATCCTTCAATGCCAGTCTTTTAAATGTAAACACTACAATGGAACTATAAACAGAAATTCAACCCAACTATTTGACTTAGAGATTGTTGTTGATGATTTTCATTTTTAAATTTTCTAAGACAAGTGTCGAATGAGTTATTTAGATCCAAAGGCATGTCTAATAAATAAGTAAATAACAAGATTGCTTCTCCATAATAATGTGGTATATACATCCCCTACATTTCAATTATGGATGGGAAAGTAAGATATTAGCTGTCCATCGAAAATATGTGGTTTTGAATTTCTATCTGTTCACCGTAGGAATATCTGTTTGATTATCTGCTTTGGAATTTAAATTGAAGGCCTTATCGGCCACAGAACCTGAAATTGATTGCGCCATCGCGATTGGCATAATTTTTAGAGCCTACGGTGAAATTTGATTGAAAATTGATTCTGATCAAAATAATTAGATTCAGAACGATTAATTAAGTGCCAAATTATTTAATATTAATAATTTTAACTAGATTAATTAAGTGCGTTGAGCCCATAAGAGGGCACAACGCACTCAATTCCTCTCTTTTATCCATTTGGGCTGAGATTTCTCTAGAGAGGGAGAGAGAGGGCCAGTTCTAGAGAGAGAGGAGGAGGAGTTATGCATTTTGATCCAAGATTGTGAAATTGGAAGTTAAAACTCAAAGAACATTGAGTGTTTGAAGCTCCTAGGTGAGTAATCAATTCTTGATTTATGAATTGAGTATGTAATTTTGTGAAATCAAGTAGTATGGTAGCTCATGGCTAAGATTGAGCTGAATTTGAAGTTAACATGAACATGCATGTGCATAATTGTTACAATTTTGGGTGTTCTAGCATGTAGCATGTTAAATATGAAGAATGGAGCATCAAACCTTACATGCATGAGTAGTTCTGTGTAGCTTCATGATTTGGAGCATCATTTGTATCATTTGTAACAGAAATGAATTGGTTTTGTTGAATTGAAAGTCATAGAACACATGCATGTAAGGAATTGCTATAAATTTTCATGTTTGAGCACAATGTGTATGATCCATGTTGAATTTTTGGTTTAAGTCCATGTATTTGATCATCTCTTCACCAATTAAGTTGAGAATAATGAGTATCCTCCACATGCAAGTACAAACCATGGAGGTATTGGTCTTGAATGTTTAAAGTTAATGTGTTGGTGATGAGTTTGGGTCAATTTGAGCCATGCATGTGATTAATTTATGAAATTGAGCTCCATTGTGTTGTAATTTGGTGTTTGTACCATGTTAGTATATGATTATGTGAAGTTTGAGCCAAAAGCATGCATCTAGAACCATTGAATGTCAAGTTGGAGCTCAAGAACATGTTCTGGAAAACCCAGAAAATTTGATGTCCGCTCGAGCGGGGAAACCGCCGCTCGAGCGTGAATTTCGTGCTCCTAGAATTTTTGCAGACTTGGATGTCCGCTTGAGCGGGGAAGTTCAAGCTCGAGCGAGGAGCTATGTAGACAGACCTTCAGCTCGAGCGCTAGACTTCACACTCGTGCGTAATTTTGATGCATCCAACACTTTTGCAGACCTCATGGGTCCGCTCGAGCGGGGAAGTCCACGCTCGAGCGGGGACCCTCTTTTTTGAAATTTTGAAAAGACATTCTGAGTTTCGTTTTCCATTCTCTTTCACTTCTAAGTACTCTTAGGCATGCATTGAGCATTGTAATTGAGTTAGAAGAATAAGAATAAAGCCTAGAGAGGAATATGTGAATTAAAGAACGGATTGAATCGGTTGTGACCCATATGTGTTATGTGATGTGTAGGGTCAAGCTCCAGGCCAAATCAACCAGCCGATCACTGTGAGTAATATCTTAACAAAGATATCTGAAATATGTTATTGTCCAATTGCTTACGTCCATGTAAGTTTTATAAGATTCGTTGATTCGTTTGGTGGACAATGTTTGCCATACCAAATGAATGGGCCAAAGGCCGTTCTGACAGGAATAAATGGATGGGCCAGAGGCCGTTTGACAAGAACGAATGGATGGGCCAGAGGCCGTTCTGACAAGAATAAATGGATGGGCCAGAGGCCGTTTTGACAAGAGCGAATGGATGGGCCAGAGGCTGTTCTAACAAGAATTAATGGATGGGCTAGAGGCCGTTTTGACAAGAACGAATGGATGGCCCAGAGGCCGTTTTGACAAGAACGAATGGATGGGCCAGAGGCCGTTCTGACAAGAATGAATGAATGGGCTAGAGGCCGTTTCGACATGAATAAATGAACGGGCCAGAGACCGTTTCGACATGAATAAATGAATGGGCCAAAGGCCAGTTTGACACGAATGATAGTTTGACACGAATAACAATTTGACATGAATGTATGAATGGGCCAAAGGCCAGTTTGACCTGAATGATACTAATGAATTGGGCCCGAGGCCGTATGATGTGTTTGGAACCGCAGTTACCTAACTTACATATGTCTATGTATGTGTGTATTAGTTAGAAATATAAACTGGGCCCAAGGCCGTTTGAGGTATATTATTCCAATGTATATTCTTTATTTGATATTGTTCACTGGGCTTTCGCTCACGCTCATTCATGTGTTTGTAGGTGAGCCAAGAGAGGTCCAGACCCAGCCTCAGTGAAGTCTGTATGGAACAACCAAAGTTTTGAAGAGTCAGCCCTTGCGTCTCACGCACAAGACACGTCTTCGCCCTTTTGCCATTCTGTGTATATTCGTCATGTTGGCGAGGACTATGGTATACGTCTGTGTATAGTTTTGGTTGGCTGACTTAGATTTGAAAGATGCTGTCTGTACAGAATTTTATGCTACTATACTTTCTATTGTGAGTTATTAACATATGTAAATGTGGAATGTTATGATGTGCATATAAGCACGACTCTATGGATAAAGTTTTAAATTTGCTTCCGTTTGGCCCCTTTACTCTGATGAGTTTTGTCTTATTTGGTTTGTGGCCGTAGGTAATCTCGTGATTACCCTTAACCCATAGGGGCGGGTTCGGGTCGTGACATGTATTATACATGTACGCAATGGTTTTTGGGTTTGATTTAACATCGATTGAATTCCCGTTGTTCCATGACTAGAGCATCATGAACTGCACAAAACCCTAATCCGTAAATTGGATTTTTTTCTTCTCAAAATCATTACAAAAACCCTAAATTGTGGATTGGATTCTTCCATAAATTGCTACAGATTAACAACCACCATCGTAGAAAGCAAAGTACAAATCAAAATTGAAATCTATTTGGTGGTTGTGATCCAAAATCATCAAACCCAAATCTGTAGCAAAGGGATCAAAGATAGTAAAGAACTGAACCAAAATCATCAACAAGTTCAGGTGCTTGTCATCTAGGCAATGAGTTGCCTTCGTTACACATATCTGATTGTCGTCACCCATCTTCAGAAGTTGTCGGCCGATCATTACCCATCTTCGGTAGTTGTCAGCAGGTCATGTTGCCAAGTCGAAAGAATCACAGAAAATGCGTAGAGAGAGAGAGAGAGAGAGAGTCATGAGGGAGAGAAGCAGTGAAATGAATGGTTGGGGTATTCATATAGTGGCATAGCTGTAATTCTTGCAAAATCCAAGGGATGTTTAAATAATTTCACCCATTAACACAGCTTTCTGCATAAACTATAAGCTGAGAAGCACCTCTTTCGGTGGTTGCAATAAACAGCTTATTTGGGGCCAAAATAGGCTGTGTTAAGCCATAAGTCGATCCCATTAAGCTACACCAAATACTCATTTTTAACTTAATATAAGTTAAAAGGTGATAAAAGCAGCTTATAAGCTACACCAAACACCTACATTCCAAGGGAAACTAACCCACAATAGAGAAATGCAGTAATCAGGTACACATGTGCAACACATTTGACAGGGGCAGAGAATACCACTCTCTATCAATAACAAGAAAAAAGTAGCAATTCATGTCATTTGTCTATTAATTTTAACAATATCATAAAGAAGCAGAAAATGTACCAACATGGCAAGATAATAAGCGCCGATACTCAAAGAGAGAATATGAACATCAGCAAACAAGGAATGTAATCAAACTACTTACAGGAAATGAAAGATACAAAACAACAATCCACTCAGCCCAAGACAATGGCGTCACCTGCAACACAAAATTCAAATATTTTAATTAACAACCTCATGTAAGGGGGCAAAAAAGTCGAATCATAAAAAAGAAATTGCAGTAAATAGATAGAAGTAGAAGATAAATCACTTACGGAAAAAAGAATAGACAGAGGTCGCACGTACAAGATAAGAATATGAAGGAGCATGGTCAGTACAATTGAACCAACAAGCCACAGATTACTCCAGGGCGGGATAACACTAAAAATAAAGTACAGGTTAGTGGTATTTATTTATTTTCTTTTTCAAACAACATCTACAACTGAGAATGAAAGACAAAAATATGACTTTCACTTATAATAGTAGCTTGAAATTATAAAAGATGGTTAACAATTGTGTAAGATAAATGACTGGGTGACAATTGTGTAATAACTTATAAACCGACTTTATCATAATCTAGTTAAACTACTAAAACTCAGTCATTTTTCGGCTTATCTCTCATGTCTCTAAATAATATATCATCTTTATGTTACGATTTTGTTTTCTCTGCCTTGACTGTTTCAATTTTTTGCTTCTAGATTGGAAACTATGATCACCCCTAATAAACATAACTCGTGGATGGCATCATCATGCATTATTGAAGGAAAGTATCAAGATCAATTTGGTAGTTTAAAGTTTGCTACCAAATAAAATTCCTCTTATTGATCACAACTACAGAACAAATACACAATTGTCTTAGCTTCCTAGGGTTATGTTGAACATAACAAAAGAAGATTGATCATCATCATCACACCATTTTGCATAAAATATGTCACAAACAAGGTTCCATAGTCCTAAACTTTATTAAGGTAAATAAAAAAGTAGACAACGGTATTAATAAGAGTGATGATGGGCAATCAAGAATTAGAGAGAGAGGAATTTAGAGAGAGATATTAGACAGAGAAATTCTCAATTCAATTCAAATTCAATATGTCCAAGTTAGTTACAAGTGAAGTAGTACTCCTCTATTTATAGGATACACTATCTAACACATGCTATGCATATGACACTACATCATACTCCCTCTCTTAAGAAAAGACTTCGTCCTCAAGTAAAAACAACAAAATACAACCAATACTAGAAATGAAAAACACAAAACCTAAGTACAAGATTACAACTTTCAAGGAACTATTCTACAAGGGGTAAAGGTATCATCAATGGAAGAGGCATTCGGAAAGTAGGGAATAAGGTGCTGCACGTTAAAGGCATTGGAGATGCCTAAATGAGGGAGTAGCTTGACTTGATAAGCATTGTCGTTAATCTTGCGCAACACCTCACAAGGTCCCACCTTCTTGTCACTCAACTTAGTGTAGGCGCCATGGGGATATCTCTCTTTGCTCAATACCACCCACACGAGATCCCCTACTTCAAACACCACTCTCCACCTATGCACATCACCATCCGCCTTATACTTCACATTAGACTTTTCAATTTGGGCCCTCACTTGAGAATGAATGCTCTTCATGAACGTGGTCATTTCCTCCACCTTAACACTTCATTTCCTTGAGAGTGGCAAAGGCACCAAATCCACCACACTTGAAGGCCTTGTCCCATAAACTACTTCAAAGGGAGAAGTATTTATGGTGCGGTTGATAGATGAATTGTAAGCAAATTCAACCAAAGGATGCCATCCCAACTCTTGGGGTGATCCCTCACAAGGCACCGCAGCAAGTTGCCAAGGCTACGGTTCACTACCTTCGTTTGACCACCGGTTTATGGATAGAATGTAGTACTAGAACTCAAGTCCGTGCCAATTTTCTTCCACAAAGTTCTCCAAAAGTGAGCAAGGAACTTAGCATCTCTGTCGAACGTAATAGAAGTATGCATCCTATGCAACTTATAGACTTCCTTGAAGAAAAGATTAGCAATGTTTGTAGCATCCATGGTCTTCTTGCAAGGTATGAAATGTGTCATCTTGGAGAAATGATCCACCATTACCATGATAGAATCACTCCACCTTTGAGTAGGAGGGAGGCCCAACACAAAGTCCGTACCAATGCACTGCCAAGGAGCATCCGGCACCGGTAAAGGTAGATATGGCCCCCCATTAGTGGCACTCCCCTTGCTCCTTTGACAAATTTGACAACGCTTCACTTGACTTTACACATCCTTGGTCATGCCCGGCCAATAATAAACATCTTGAAGCAACCCAAGGGTCTTGTCCTTATCAAAGTGCCCCATCTTATGATGCTCAACCAACAAATGTGTCCTCAAGGAACAATTAGAAACACACAACTTAAGGCCATGGAAGAGAAATCCGTCTGTTTTCATGTAACTTGGATAAGCCGTCCTATCCCCCCTTTGCAAAGCATCAAAGATCTTGGAAAAGTAAGGATCACTTGCATAGAATGTGCGAAATTCATCAAAACCCACTACTTCATTTGTCATTTCAATCAAGAAAGCCGTTCGCCTACTCAACCCATCGGCCACCTTATCAAGAACCCCCGATTTGTGGCTCAAAGAGAATGTGAATTGTTGCAAGTAGGCCACCCATTTAGCATGGCATTTGTTAAGATGGGATTGACTATTGATGTACTTGAGAGC